ACCCTACATGATAGCGTTCATTTCTTAGGCTCTTCATATTCTAGAAAAAAACTAACTGTTGATTGGGCTTATTTCTACCCTCTAAAATTTTTAACTTCATTTACTTCTAACTTTACAAAACCACGAATCGGATTAGCTAAGTGCACATCTTGTAGTAGGAGAACTATTCGAATAATACATATTTTGCTGCTAAAAATTCCAATTTTTTGGATTGTTATATGAGCTTGGAAAGAAGTGAACTTATCCGACACCCAATCCCACAGTGAAGCCTGATACACGCGAAAACAGAGCTTAGCGAGAAGCATTTCAACCAAGAACAGATGAATAAACGTCACGAGATAAAAATAATGTATTGGAAATAGTTCTTCAGTACACACATGATTTGTTCGCAACGAGACGAAGACCAGTAAAAACTGAATCCGCTTACCTCTTGAACTAAGAAAGAAAAGAACCGGGTTTATTCAACATTCAAAAAGTATTTTCAACCATGTTACGCTTTTAAAAAAAAAATCGTGGAATAATCTTAGGAAAGCATGGAATATTCTAGCAAAAGTTCTGTTGACACTCAGCATTTCCGTGCACAGACAAGACTCAAGGGATGTTCACAAACGGCATAACAAAAATGCTAACGAGCACAGTCATTCCACTGCGAACCTCAAATTTATTAAAGCATTTAGGTTGTCTTGAGATTGCGCTAAGAAAGTTTAAAATAGCAGTCACATCGAGACCAATTTCTAATAGTAATAGTAGATACGAGAGGGTGTCGCATTTTTTCTCAGAGGTTCGACAGAAATGACCCAAAAGGGACTTGACATGTTCGGAGCAGAACGCGCTCTTTCCAACTCAAACAATTTGCGGGGAACACTCATAAGATTTAGAAAGAGGAATTTGTACGACTGATCGTAAATTTTTTCCCACTGAAATGTGTCTTACATAACTCAGTTGAGAAGCCATAATGTCATGAAGAGATGAATAAGTCTGGTAACTCGAGCGTGTTAAAGGTAGAAACGTGGAATACTAATTTATTAACAGGTATAGCACTTGGTGCTATTCCTGTTAATAAATTAGTATTCAGTTCAGAAGGCGATTCCCTATGAACATGCAACCCGAGCACAGACTACACTGAGGACCAACGCTTGAAAGAAAACGTTACACGAGTGACATTTTTGAGACTGAATACTTAATTAATGGCTGAAAACGCAGCTTATGGGAACCTATACAGGCTATCAGATAAATGAAGCGTTTAGGTTGATGAAATATAAAATCATAATAATGGGCATACAACACATCATCGTTTAGCTTTCGTAACGAAAAAAAGGGAAATCAGAGCATACCTGATATTTCAGGACCATCTTTTCCTCGTTCCAGTTCTGCTCCTAATTCAGTAAGGCTAGTGTCAAATTCAATCATGCACAATCGTTCGCCTTTTTTTGTAGTCCGTATTGGCGTTATTGTTTCAATAGTACCATACTAAAATGTGCACGGTTAAAAGATGCATACTTCAATAAGGAACAGTATCATAAAGTAACAGAATGTTCCACACATCAAAAAAGCGAAAATCAACTCAATTAACCTCTTTGTATAGTTTCCTTAGGCTGTCTTCGTCGTAATCACCGTCCTTTGACGGCTTCCATTTCAGCTGTAAAGTTGGATGTTTGTCTAAAAAAAATATTTTAATCGCGAAGGAGGGGAGCAATTGTGGGAGATGGTTATCTTAAAAATCACATTATGCACTTGTCACTGCACAACAAAAAGCATGAAATTGGAAAGCCTTTTATTATCTCAGAATTTCATATGGGTTTCATTCTTATGATTAACGGACTTTCCAAGTCAACAATT